ATGGTTTTTATTCTCAGAAAATTTCTCTCCCTAATAACTTTCTCTTTTAACCTACTAATATCACTACATACACAGACAGGGGTGTCTCAATGTATGATGAGTATATTGTTGCTACTCTAATTTGTTTGCGGTCCAGTTGTTAAGCCATCATGACGTTGTCGTCCTATGCATTTAGCATCTTCTTCTCATTGGACTGAAAAGTATCCTATTTAAGTTCAACGATCGTTGGAGTGAAGCAAGTGAATCTACTAAGGACAAAAACAGTGATTGATTTCCTTCTCGGTTCGCCTTTTAAAATATTTATTAGTTGTTCAAAATATCTAAATCAGAAATGAGGGTTATGTTAAATTAGCACACCAAATGGACCATAAAATGTCCCCAAAAAACTTTGAAAGATTAATGTCATGACAGGATAGTTAGCATGCTAATTTTATTGAATCTAAATTATTGATCTTTTATAACAAAAAATTTATAATAAGACTTCTGGCTTATTAGTCTTCACCTCTGGAGGTATCAAGTTAAAAAATCTTTTATAACAAAAAATTTAAGAAACATCATAAGTCAAAAAATATATGCAACCATAAAGATCATTATATACTATGTGCAAAGTAAAAAAAAATTATATTAGGATTGAAATCAAATAACATTAGATCGGTTTTACGATACATATATCATTTAAAAAATGATCTCTATGTGATATGTAAAAGTATTGTCTTTAGATTCAAAATCATTGTCAATTTGTAATGAAAATTATACTCTTCTTTTCCTCTCTTCCTATTCTTTCAGAAGACCATTTAAATTAATGATTTAAGGAGTTAAGAGAGAAACTATAATATCTTAATTGTGTTCTCTATGAGATATGTTCATTTAGTCCTCAGGTTTCTTGTATATTTATAGGTGATTTAGGATAAATTATTAGGAGAGTTTCTTCCATTAAAGATATCTCACGAGGAATTTTACTATAATATAAACTTATTTTCTATTAGACAATATCTATCATCATAATTCAATTAGTTCTATTATATATCTTATCTATATAATCTAATAATATAATCTCATTTGGTATAAACTATCATTTTGGATACTACAAGTTGTTATTCACTAGATTAAAAATTATTTTAAGATTTTTTTTGTCAAAAAAATTTCAAAGAGACCTCAATCTTCTTAGCTGAGACACTGCCACCACCTGGAACTTTCCTTTTATTTTATTTTATTTTATTTGGAGATTCACTTATTGCTACAATTTTCTTGTTGGATTTACTGCATTCTTCCTATCTGATTACAAAGGACAACCAACCACTACAACTGTACACATATTTCTTACCTCGGATCTATATGAAAATTTCTCGTGATTTCTCTTTTTCGTTGTTGTTTTTATCGGAAATTAGTACATCACCGACTTCCTACTTCTAACTATCTTTCTACCCTTTGTATTGTGGAAATGCATAATTATTTTCTATGCAATTAGGATTCTGACAACATGTCTTTCAATTGTTCTTTTTCTCTCTCCCTTTTGTCATTCTGTATAGCACACTACTGGACATCTCCTTTCGCTTTAAGAATCTTTGGTGTCCTGATAAATGGCTTTTGGAAAGGAAGGATTTGGATAAAAAAAGGTGCTACCATCTTTAGGGCAATTATTAATAGTAGAAGGATTTGCTGGCTAGTTTGGAAGGCCACAAATTATGTTGCTTTTAATGGTAGAAATGTCTCTCCTAATTTCATTACTTATTAAATTATTATTTTGATAAATTTATTATGTTTTAAGGAATATTATGAGGAAGCACAATTTGAATTACAATAAGTTATCGTGATCTAGTAAAAGCATCGTTAGAGATAATTTAAATTAAACATGGACTATTTTTTTTTTCTAAGAAAAATAGTATAATACGCGTTAGTTTTATGGTTAGAACCGATAATTTATATTTTTGCATATCGAGAGTCTATATAAGATACTTATAATTAACTTTTAAACCCTTAGCGATTCAACGGGATCTCTAGATTTTATCCAAGATATTTCAATATTGAGGTTGATAACAAATTTATCATAAATATATCAGCCTAAAAGATCATGCTCCCACAAAATTTTAAGTTGTCGTCTTTTGTGGGCTTTTAAATTTTTTATATTTTTCATAAAGGCAATCAATGCACATATTAAATTTGTGCTCTCTATCAAATCTTCCTTTTTATAGATGAATCAATAGTCTCATCCTTTCTTAGTATATCTAAATAAGAAATACTTTTTTTTTGAAAAAAAAAATTCATTCATTAAGTTTTAGAGAGATGACCTTGTTATTTTTTTAAAAGATTCTTTTTTCTTAATATTCCAAGTTTGTTTAGCTTCTTCTTAGCACTAAAATTTTTGGATTAGATAGATTCACTCACTCTCTATTGAATGTAGTTATTAAAAACACTACTTACATCTGTTTTGATATTCTCCTTATAGAGCACAATAACACTGTTTTGATATTTTCTTTATAATTTTTTTTGTTATTGTACTGTCCAATCTTTTTCGTTCTCTCGACATATGAGTATTCAATGCATCCTTAGTGATCTTATGAGATAAATAAAAATCATAATATTCACATTCAAAGACAAGAACATGGTTGCGAGTTTACACAAATACAATGGGATGAAATTTTCATTCATTTAGCTTTGCAAAGCTGAACATACAACATCCAAAATTATGTAATTTAAATTATTAAGTCGAACAAATGATTGATAAAGAGGAAGATCCTGAAATGCAATTAGTTTAGGAAGACATGATTAGATTCAGGATCGCCAATCCATATGGTGTTTACTACGACACTTGTGTTGACACCCTCTACCGGTCATCTCCCATTCCTTGGAACATAAAGGCCACAAAAGAAATAAATACACACAAAAAGGCCAGCTTTCGATTAATTATATATTAAATCTAAGTAAGCTAATGCAGCTAACGTTTTGTCGAAGAATACTTGAGATTACCTTTTTTTTTTCTCTTTTGTAATGGTTCATGTAATTCCAAGGTTTCGATTACCTTTGTGTATTCAATGAGAAAAAGCTAATATGTCTAGATTCATCATTTCAAGCAGGAAAAGAAAAAATTACTGCGACTTCCTCAATCTTAGTTGTGGATACATATTACTAGTAAACATATAATACAATAAAAAAGCCAAAAAAAAAAAGAAAAAGAAATCCAAACTCATGAACTCTTTGCCCTCCTGCAAACATATTCAGGAAAGTTATACAGTTATATAGCTTGGAATTATTCAGATGCTGCATCCAACATCTATCAGTGACTGTTGTAGTATTGTTTCATGCAATGCAAACTTTAGTGGCTTTTGTGGATTCTTCTTTTATCTCCGATCACTGTGTAAAAGTTTCTTCACAGTGTTTGTCATCGAGGCATTGAGTTTACTTCTCGGTGCTGTTTGAAACTTTTTACTGCACATCGGAAGCAATCCCACTACAGGTCTCCTTAGTTTGTCTTCATTAATTTAAGAGCTTTAATAATAATAATAATAATACATAATACATTTTGTAAGTTATAATTTCATATTAGTTTTCAAGTATGTCTAGTCCTACATCGATCGAGAAGTAAAGAAATTAATGTCTTATAGGTGTCGAAATCATATAGTGTCTTGCCTTCATATGTCGAGGTCTTCAAAAGATAAAACTATATGTTTTCATCCAACTGTCTTAACTGTCTTACTATTATGCTAATAAAAATATTTAATCTCACATCGATTAAGAAATCGGGAACCAAGAAGCATCTTTAGTTCATCCGAGAAGAGTAAGGAACCATACAAATCGATTCCAAATGAACAATTTCCTTTCAGCCCTCAAGACAAATAATTTATGGGGAAGTATACAGCTTTTGTGTTGGGTGTGGACTGAAACATGTTTGAACTTTCTTAGGTTTTCCTTCTGTGCACTTCATAATTTGCCTGCAGTTTGCTAGTTGACTAATGAATTAATGCATAGTAAAGTAGATAATTTTAGATTTATGCTAATCTGAATGTTGAAATGAGTTGTGTTCTGAAAATTTCAAAACCATCTTATTTTTTAAAAATAATGAAATATATCAGTAGGATTGATCCAAAATATGAAGGAGGCTTATTATAAGATAATGTTGTCTTCCCTTTATTAATTCTACTTCCTAAGATCTTTCTTGGTATGGGGGATTATTCCATTGAAATCCCAGAATTTACCAAACAGCTTTCACAGTCGCGAGGACTATGAATTCTCTTCTCAGACCAAGTGAAGCTTAAAAGAAAGAACAAGAAGCTCATGAAACAAAAAGCTGCAGAATCGTACTGCTTTGTGCTCTTGCGTTCCGACTTTTCCCATTGCTTTCTTCGAAAGCACACAAACACTATCGGAATGGTAAAGGAATCCGAACTTTGGTAGCTTCAAACGGTCTCATCACATAAGGTCTAAGATTTATTGGTCGTATGTTTCATTATGTCTTGTGGGCACTCATCAACAAGGGAAAGAAAGAGCGTAAAATCGAAGGGCAAAATCGAATTTGACATCATCACAACAAGACAAAGTGGACGTCGACAATATACTACACGACATAAGCCAAAATGCACATATTGTTCGTACTCGTACATAGATATGATAGCCGTCGCCGCAGCAACTACCACAACAGCCCTGTGTGTGTTGTGAGAAAGAGATCTCACGTGGACTGCGAGAAAGGCCCGCATAATGCATGCAAATTATAATCATGGACGTAGCGATGCAAATTTGTGGATGCTTGTTCTTTGTTTCATGGCCTCATTTGTGGTGGGCTCAATATTCAGCTTATCCGCTCTCTCTCTCTCTCTCTGTTGAACACGTTTTGTGTTGGAAGTATTGGCAGAATCCTCACACCAGTAGATATCTGAATCATGATGTCCTCCTATGCTATCCCGGTGAGCTCCAAAAACAACACAACAAAAGATCTTTGATTCCGCGACTTGTATTCTGTCTATATATACATTCGATATCAGTGTTCCTTTTGCTCGAAGAGAACCTCTTGTGCAGTCCTTACAGAATACAGAGGAAATGATACATAGGCTTCGAGTTCCCGACTGAGAGAGAGAGAGAGAGAGAGAGAGAGAGAGAGAGAGAGCGATACAATGTTAGGCTCTCCATTGCTAGCTTCCCAGCAACCTTGCGATGGCACCACTGTCTCGTCGCCGCAACCACTCGTTTCGATTAACGATGCCACTAACGCCAAGAAAAAGCGAAGGCCGGTGGGCACTCCAGGTAAACCATCATACCACTCGATTGACATGTTACTGTGTGGTTATTTCTACGGGTCGATTGAGGCTATGCCGATGCATAGATCCGGATGCGGAGATCGTATCTCTGTCGCCGAGGGCGTTGCTGGAGTCGGAGCGGTACGTGTGCGCGATCTGCAACCAGGGATTCCAGAGAGACCAGAATCTGCAGATGCACCAGCGGCGGCACAAGGTGCCGTGGAAGCTGCTGAAGCGGGAGGCAACGGAGGTGCGGAAACGGGTGTACGTGTGCCCGGAGCCGACCTGCCTTCACCACGACCCGCGCCATGCCCTCGGCGACCTGGTGGGAATCAAGAAGCATTTCCGGCGCAAGCACAGCAGCCACCGGCAGTGGGTCTGCGACAAATGCTCCAAGGCCTACGCCGTGCAATCCGACTACAAGGCCCACCTCAAGACCTGCGGCACCCGCGGCCACTCCTGCGACTGCGGCCGCGTCTTCTCCAGGTGCGGAGAGACTTAATTCCGCAGTGAATTGGTTCTGGTTCAAGTTCTGTACTCTGCAACTCCATTCGTGGACTCTGTATTTGATTGCCACAGGGTGGAGAGTTTCATCGAGCACCAAGGCACATGCGCCGCCGGCCGAGCTCGTGCGGAGCTCCACATGTCCCAGCCGCCCGCCTGCCTGTCTAGGATGACCTCAAGCCCGAGCCCGTCGAGTGACACCAACTTCAGCCCCATGACGTGGCCCATCCTAATTAGAACGCCGAATCCGACGGCCGCCGTCTTCCTCACCCTGCCGGATCAACCGTCCTCGGCGCAACTCGACAAACATTGCACTCGGAACATCGAGCTCCAGCTCCTACCTCCATCCGGCAACCAGAATCTCGCCCTCTCCTCATCTGCATCGTCTCCTGCAACTGAAGACGCCGAAGTCACCAAATTGCAGCTCTCGATCGGGCCTTCTGCTGACCACGCTCCGGCCGAGGATCAACAATTGGCTGCCACTAGACTCAAAGACGAGACGATGGAGCAGCTAAAGCTCGCCATGGCCGAGAAGGTACTGGCCGACGAGGCGAGGCATCATGCGAGGCAACATCTCGGGTTAGCCCAGCACGAGTTCGAGACCGCTAAACGGATCAGGCAACAGGCACAGCTGGAGCTGAATCGAGCTTACGCCATCAGGGAGCACGCTCTGAAGCAGATCAACTCCACGCTGATTCACATCACTTGCTACGCTTGCAAGCAGCGGTTCCCGGAGAAGCCCGCAATGGCCTCCGAGGAGAACTCTTTCGTCGTGAGCTACATGTCGTCGGCGGTGACCGAGGGCGAAGAGGAGAACGAAGACCACGACCGTCAACAGAAGATCTCAAAATCGTAGCTTTCCAGTATTATTTGGATTCCTGTACTAATTGATGCATGTAAATTACCTTCAATGTTCGGTGTGCATGTCAAGAGCGTCATTGTGAAGTGCAACGTGCTTCTCTATGTGCAAGTGAGGTTCTTGATTAAGACAATGGTCAATTAATGATAGGCAGGTGTGCTTCCTTGTGTCTTTTTCTGGTCGCCATCTGATATCCAAACCCATCTTCTCCTTGTTTGTCTTGAGCAAATGAAACATTGGTTTTGGCTGGATGCTTGCAAACTATAGCTCATCGGGATGAACAGTGGCAGAGGAGAAGCAAGAACAATCGAAACAGAAGACCGATTGATGACTCAAATCCACTGGAGATAAAAGCTCAGAGCCAATTAGATAATACAAGTTGCAGCAGCAGCGCGCTTTTCGCGCTAGAATACAAAGTGAGAGGGGTGATGATGCGTGGGTTGGTGAGGGGTCAGAGCGTCTTCAGTTGCTATCGTCCTTCCCACCTCGCACTCTTATCACAAGACGAACACAGACATCATTCATGATGAGAGCAGCAAAAATGCCATGGTATTCAGTGCCATCCTCGTCTCTCTTGTGCGGCGTTACGTGCACAAACACTCTGAATAAGGAAGCAGAAAGAGAAGTAGCGAGGGAAAGCAGCTCGGGGATGACATTAACGTGTGGAGTGATTGTGGTCATGAAACAAAGAGACAAGCAAAAGCTTCCAGCAAGAGGAGGCCCCCTCCTTTTTGTAGCCATTATAAAAAGCATTCATGAAATGCAATATTATAATGGTCTTAAAAAGGTGTGTAAACATGAATCATCTTATCAGCAAACAAACATATAAAAACGTCGAAGAGGAATCTGCAAACACTCACGGAACCTGCACAGATTACATCAAACCATGATTATAAATTTTCATCTCTCTCTGTCACAGATATTTATCCTCTTCTTTCATCACTTTATTCCTGCAATGCCTCTCTTTCTGATGTACTGAATCAGTCTTTATACCATCTGAACTCTTGATCCGGAAGTAATGACTTCCAAATTGTGCCCATTTAACTCAGAAAGGGAGACTAATCGATTAATGTTCTCCTCGTGTTAAAAGGCTGAAAGCTCATTGAGATTGGTTAAGAATAATCTAATTCTTTTCAGCCTGATTAAGGTGGCATATCAAATCTAGTTTCGAGTAGGTAATCAAAATGTAAAACCAAATCTAGGTCTATTCTGCTTGAACCAAATCAGTTGGCATCATCTGTTTGTATTTACTTTTTCTCTTGGGTGACCAGAGCATATCCACAGAATTCTCTCCATGAGACATGCCAAGAGATTCTGAATCAAACACTCAGTCCCAGAAAATGAAAGCAAGCAGTTGTACACAAAAGACAAAGGTTGCAGAAAGAACCTGCAGCAACAGATGCCACACAGAAAACTGAAGCATTTGGATATATAAATAGAGAGTGACACTTATTCAACAAAATAATAAGATAGCACAGTTGCAACCATGTTTAGATCAGAATTATTGACCATCCCTTGCTTATGGAAAATAAAACCAAACTAAACGAATACAAAAATAACATCAAGAGAAAATACAACATCAAGAGAATGAAGATGGTTGCATATTTGGTCGAGGAAGAACAGCATCTCACATCATTGTCCAGACCATCATACAAGCAAGTTCCAAATTGAGAATACTGAACTACTCCTTCCATTTATGTTGTTGACCACCTTATTGCCTATCGATAGAAGATCTAGAAGCACTTTCTGTGCACGATGGAAGGACCGGACTCATCATATTCTGCTTTTGCAATCCACATCTGCAAAGGACAATAAAAGTTCATCAACAGGTGATCCCAATGCATGTTCAAAGAGACTAAAAAAACATGAAAATGAAACATTAACAGTAGCCAAGATAACAATTAAGAAAACAATTTCTTGTTGCACTACCAGATGATGGTATGTTTAGCCTTCAAAGTATGAGAAAGAATGATGTTATACAGTTTCAAGTAGTGTATACCTGCTGGAAAGTGCTAAGGGATGCCAAGATAGATCCACCAATCCAAACACTGTACTTCCTTTCCGGGGGAGCAACCACCTTAATCTTCATGCTGCTTGGAGCCAGCGCAGTGATCTCTTTGCTCATCCTGTCGGCAATGCCTGTGAACATGGTGGATCCTCCACTCAGGACAATGTTTCCATACAAATCCTTTCTTATGTCCACATCACATTTCATGATGGAGTTGTATGTCGTCTCATGTATGCCTGCAGCTTCCATCCCAATCATGGATGGCTGGAAAAGGACTTCAGGACAACGGAATCTCTCAGCACCAATGGTGATAACCTGCCCATCAGGCAGCTCATAATTTTTCTCCACGGATGAGTTGGTCTTTGCCGTCTCTAACTCCTGCTCATAATCAAGAGCAATGTATGCCAATTTCTCTTTGATGTCGCGAACAATTTCACGCTCAGCAGTGGTAGTGAAGGAGTAACCACGCTCGGTCAAAATCTTCATGAGAGCATCAGTGAGGTCGCGACCAGCAAGGTCTAGACGAAGGATTGCATGTGGGAGTGCATAACCTTCGTAGATAGGGACTGTATGGCTGACACCATCACCGGAGTCGAGCACGATTCCCGTTGTTCGACCGCTAGCATAAAGAGACAGAACAGCCTGGATGGCAACATACATAGCTGGAGCATTGAAGGTCTCAAACATGATCTGGGTCATCTTCTCACGATTGGCCTTGGGGTTAAGAGGCGCCTCGGTAAGAAGAACAGGATGTTCTTCTGGTGCCACACGAAGCTCATTGTAGAAAGTGTGGTGCCAAATTTTCTCCATGTCATCCCAGTTGCTCACAATACCGTGCTCAATCGGATATTTCAGGGTTAAAATACCTCGTTTGGATTGAGCCTCATCTCCGACATATGCATCTTTCTGGCCCATACCAACCATCACACCCGTATGACGAGGTCGACCCACGATGCTCGGAAAGACGGCCCTCGGGGCATCATCTCCGGCAAAACCAGCCTAATGAAGAAGAGAAAGTAGACGAAGCCATTAGCACTAGTTTCGAATTCTATCACAGAACGATGGACCATCTTCATCATGAAAGATGCACGAATAGTAGGAAGCTGAAACATGCTGAAGAGTATTGTCAGGAGAAGTTCTTCAAGTAGTACCTTAACCATTCCAGTTCCATTGTCACACACGAGAGGCTGAATATCTTCACCATCTGCCATCTTTTATATCTGGTAGGAAAGAGGAATGCCACGTTGGGAAGAAGAAGAAGAAGAGCCATTTATCAGACAAAAAAGAATCCATAGATAATTAGATCAGAACACCCAATATAAATTTGAAAGTTATCAAGAAGCTGATTCAACAAGTACTAGTAGCAATTCCGATACCCAATACTACTTGCAGGGAAGCTTAGTTAGCTACGACACAGCATTTCATGGTTAAACAACGACGAAGAACCACATCTGAAGGCATAAATCTACCCAATGTGACAGAACCCCAGTCCAGTCCCCAATCTGATCTTTAAGAATCATGAAGTGAAGTATTCATTAGGAGTTACAAGTCTCCTTGAACAGGTTATCCCACATACGTTCATGAAGTCCCAACTGCTACTTTATCTAGCAAATGGTGGGACTGATTCCTTAAATTGGCATAAGGAGACATGATTTAAAGCAGGTCAAATCATGAAAATTGGTAAAGAGATAAAACACCTACAGCGATCACCAACACATGAATCAAATTTGCATCTACAATTAAATCCAGACAATACAGAGCACAAGTGAATGTTGCGATTGGCAATGCGACCCATGCCATCATTTCTTCTGCAGAAGAGTGGCAACAGGAAAATGACTAACATAAGAATCCAACGGAAACTACAATTTACTGACACAAAAATGATTAGTGATCCGAAACCAAGAAACAACAAAATTAGGGCTTTCTTCGTTCATGTATTGATCCAAGCGAAATAGATGGGGCATTAAGCAAACATAATAAATGCAGAGTCGAGCTTGCAACCCAGGCTCGAGCATCAATATTTCTTCACACATTGGAATGCGAAGTTTCGGTCAGAAACCAATTACCAAACGGAAAAAGAAAGCGAAACAGAAGACGCAGCAGACGAACAAGAGATGGGAAGTACGGATATGCAGAAATCGAAACGGGTCGGAGACTCAAAAAGTCTTTGATATCTACCACGGAAAGGAAAGGACAGGCAGAACAAAACAACGAGGGAGCGATCTCCGACTTGCTTCTGGGATCTCCCTCTGCTTCTCCCCAACGCCTGAGCTCTTAATCTCTCTTGGTTCAAGGGATGGCGCGAGGTGGGGTGGTGGGAAGCCCTGTTCGCGCGCTGCCAAGATTAGAGCGCAACGCCCGGTTCTTCCGCCCGCCCCGCGACGCGCGTTGCGAACCGGTTCCGAAATCCACGGCTTAGATTCTCAACCGGTCCATGTATTTTAATCACATCCGTACACCTGGCTGACAATCTAAGCGAAAAGATTTTTGGAATATATGTTGAACAAAATATGGAGAGATCCCATAAAATCCAACCCAAGCAATTTAGTTGTCGGCATGCACACATTTTTTTCTTTTTTTGTTTCTATATGATCCATTCCGTCCAAAAATGCATCAAATTTTAATCACATTGGTAATTTACGTCGCATGAGAAGGTGGAAATCATAGTAATTAATGACGTCACCAATGGCAATGTGGAAAAACTTAAACATCTAAAAGTGATTGTGAAGTCGCAGTCCAATTACGTGGAATTGACATTACCAAAAATGTTGAGGTAAAGATAATATTAGGATAGGATCATCGAGTGACATTTTGATGAATATAATTAATCAATTTGATCTTTTTTGATAAATATGTACATATATGGTATCTGAATTATCATAACTATATCAAATAAAATATTTATTTCATTTTATTAAATAATTTATTTTGTATAAATATTTATATTTATAATATTAGTTGATGCTATTCAATTTATCTTAATTCATATTGAAGTTTTGCTTATATATATATATCTATATATATATATATATATATATATATATATATATATATATATATAAGATTTTTAGCATTTCTATTAACTTGGACATTTAATTTTTTTTAATATGATACATATTTCTGAATCGTTTATATATATTTCAAAATATTTTGAGTTAATTATATGAGTTTACTGATTAATCCACTAAATCACCCAATAACCTAGTGACCCGAGGGTCGGTCGGATAGCCTTTCATTTTGGTTATAACAATGGTAAGATAACTATTGTTTTAAGGCACATTTTGTTATTTTATAGTTTACTCAGATTAATGATTAATATGCATTTTGTCTAATCTAGTCCAAAATGTAAATGTTTAGTTTTACACTTTTGCATTACGACATCATTTAATCAATAATATGGATTTTATTTAATGCACAATAACATAGTTCTAGTTGTTTGAATTAAAATAAAATAAAAGATTTAATGTAATCTTTGTAGTATATGATTAATAAAATTGTGTGTCGAGATTTAAAAAATATACTAAAAATTTCTTGTGTGATGCACTGAAAATGATACAAATGTTAGATATAAGATCAAATAAATGCAAGTTAATGGTGCAAGAAATTATTAATCGTTTGGTTTTTTAAGATGAAGAAACAACTTGTGTTTTCAAAGTCAGTTAACGTAACTTTCTCTATCATAACCTAAGAATCTTAGTAAGAAGGTGAGACTTTTGTACATGGAAGAAACAACAAGCAATCAAGCAATCCAGAAAACACATGAAAGAAGACAGTTGAGGTAGAGATGAGGACTAGCAATCAAGCTTCGGACGTGAACTCATGGATACGTATGGAAAGTCAATTATGGGTCGGACAACATCCCACGAACACAACAAGCATCCATCAGTTGCAGGTGGTTTGTCCTGGGTGATTCGGGCAGGCGACGCCGCCGCTGCCACCGTTGCTGGGGTCATTCGTGCACGTCGAATGCCCTGATGGCGGCCCGGAGCTCTTCTCGAGGGCCGCCGAAACCTGGACTGTTGTGTCTCCCAGCCACCGTGGTTTTCCCAACGGCCTCGACGAAGACAGAGCGAGAGAACTCAGGATAACCAAAGCAAGCAGCCCCACCACGTCCAGCATCTTCCCTCCTCCTCGGACGCCGCCCATCTCCTCAGTTTCCTTCTGACGCTTGTCGCCTTTTGCTGTCGTGGTAGAGATCGATGGGTGGATACATAGGAGGTTTCTTTCCACTAACCAAGAACTTACCATCGAAGTTTCGTTCGCAGTCGTCTTACTTGGAGTTTGGCACGAGAGGAGAGGGAGAGGGAGACGGAGATAGGGAATGTCCTTATTGGTCAAATCAAAGAGGTTTTGACCAAAATGAAACGTATTGACTTGCGTTTCTTAGTAATATTGTGTGCTAAAGGTGCCCATTGGGTAGATGACAATTCTCATTCCAATTACGTAAAAGGACACAATACTCGATCAAATGATATGTAATCAACAGGACAGTATGTTTGATCACAACCATTTCTTTTGTTAGAGATAGAAAAGAAAAAGATGAATGTCTTTTGACGTATTCTTAACTCGAGCAAAAATAAAAACAAAGGGGTTTGTATCTCTTCTCCTTCTCCTGTTCTTACAGAATACTCATTAGATTACATCTAGCAAACACCTCTCCAATGGTTATATCAATCTTGATTTGTTGGTTATAGGGAATATGTTTTTTTTTTTTTTTGTAGACTTCTAACTCTCATATAATTATATAAAATAAAACTTGAGAAGAGAGAAGACAAAAGAAAGTTATATTTTCCATGTCATCTTGAATTTTCCATATCATCAATTTGAGTTTTTGGGATAATTAGATCGCCCGATTTGAGTTATTTCATTTGTTTTCTCTAAATAAAATGTTACATCAATATCCAATCCGAGGCGGTCTTTTTCTAAGTCAATGGTTACGTCTGATGCAAGGAATGATGGTCTTCACACTCGTACGTCCGTAGTGGGGGGTGAGTAAGCGACAAGACAAAGTGCTTTCCCACCAAATCCCCACTACGAATGTATTGGTTGACATGTAAACCATACAGTCAAGGATGAAGGCTAGACTTGGAGTCGCCAAGGCCAATCTTTTTACGAGAGAGGAGGCCATAGAAGAGGAGCAGCTCATCCGGTAAGAGAGAGAGAGAGAGACAACTACTAATCCTCCCGCCTCTCCATGCCTGCAAAGCTATGCCAAGCCCTGGAGTGGGCTCAAGCCGCGGGCGGCGAGGTTCCATTCTTGAAGAGCCTCCTCCTGTGTCGTCTTGTTGGTGGAAGTGCTTCCCTGGACTAACGTTGGTGGAAGTGTCCTCCTGAGTCTGCTCGAGAGTGCGAAACTGAGGAAGAAGACGATCCCGCCCTTGTGGCTAACGTTGCTGCACACCAATACTTGCACGTCCTGTATTCTTACTGCTCTCTCTGGATTTCCTACCTTGATTCATCTGATTAATCCTTAATTAATTTCTGCTATTGACCCACCCCACAATTCATCTCATCCAATTTATGTCCAGTATATCTTAGCTTAGAAAGACAATCACGGCCTCCATAGGATCAATCGATGCCTTGGACCCCTTACCTTTACATCGACTGCACTCTGTAGTACTATCGAAGAAAGCACAACAATCATAAATTTATTTATTTGCTATGCATCATAAATAATCGATTCGGTAGCGAATCAGTAGTATTCACCATAACAGCAAAATTGAATCTAGAGGCTCCACCAAGTATGCACATTCATGATCATGCATCACAGGGAGATATAGAAATACCATATCTTTAGCATCCATATATAGTGTGGCAACAGCAGATAAAAAGCTAAATTGTTTCAGAACATTGTCAATCGCACACCAGTAATGATCAAACCATCTTAACCAAACAACACCGTCTACATATTACACCAGAAAACTGGTCATTGCAATAACTGCTGAGGACAAATATCAACAGAAAACAAGCACAGCAGAAAGCATCAAGTACTTTTATGTACAATTGTCGATGTTATCTACATGAGTGTCCAACGTTAATTTCTCTTCAACTCACTCTCAGGGCCCTCTCGATTGTTTGCCGCACCAAGAGCAGCTCTGCTGCAAACTTTCTCTGGCTCATTTTCTTCTGCTTGATTAATGTCAACTTATCATAGACACACCATGGAAAACTCAGGAAATGTGGCCTGTTCAAATTTTCATTGTAGCAGCCCCAGTAATCTGGGTGATAGGTCACATGATACCAAGCTGATGCCTTAGCATATTCTTCATCTTCGTCGTGGTCATGATCACTGCTTTTCTCATTAAACCATGATCTTGCTTCTTTCCTCAGTGACCTCACTGCTCTTCCAATTGCTTCCCCGTCCTTGTTCTTTGTGAAGGTCTTTGACATTTTCATTATATGGCCACTCAGAATCTCAGCCTCTGTCTTTATGCCATAATGATCCATGAGATTCCCCAGCTTAAAATCATATTCCCCTTTGAAGAAGAAAGCCTCACTTGTGTACTCCTTGAAACCATCAACTTCCATGTCAGGGTCATAAGACCGCAAAGCAACCAGCTTTGTGAAGGCCTTCACATGGCCAAACCCTGGTGTGTGGTCTTTTATTGCTCTGTATAGCTTACCGATGACTCCTTTTGACACATAGGAAACTCTGTCTAGCTTTTCCATGAAGTCAGGGTACTCTTTGACATATAGACGAGGGGGGATCTCAGCAGGAACACCTGTCTTGGGGAAGTCAACAGCAATAGAGAAGAGTTTTGCAAGCTCTATGCACTCCATGCTTTCAGCTTTCTCTCTTGCCCTGTCAGCAAAGACTGTGTGCGCATTTGCAATGATTCCTAAGCTGTCATTTACAATATAATTTGTGAAGTACTCCATTACCTCCTGCATGACATAAACATACTACCCATGTATTAGTAATAGCCAAAGTGGGCTTTTAACTGTTGATTGCATCGATTGAACAATACAATTACAAGTAAACAAGAAAGTCAGATGGTTGATATAGGCACCAACTGGAATCCAGATGCATATATCACACGACTTTATTAAATTCAAGCATAATAATGATAAAGTAACTAACCTGGGAAATAACATGACGTTGAATACAAAACACATGTTGTAAAGAAAAATGACTAGCATATTTAATGAAAAGCTACGAGCAGGATGGCAATGAGTGTCGGGTTACTACCTCAATTGTAACATTGTGATCCAGTGTCTTGGTTGGTGCAGGGGTATATTCCATGGGCAGGACAACACGTTGTGGGATGAGTTCAGGGTCCCAGCTAACAAAATAGATATC